TACTTAATTTTAAAATTAAGGTACACACACAAACGAGGAGCATCTGTAAGGCAAATGACTGGAGCTGCTGAGGTGGGAAATATCGGGGCCCCCCTGCCACTTGGTCTGATATTTCTGCACACCTTTCCAGACATCTTGTGGGGAGCTCTTCACTGATGCTTCTGCAGAGAACCCCACTGAACCGGGATGGCACTAAGCTAGATGTTCAGGGGACTTGAGAGGTGCTGAGCGCCAGAACGCATGACTCCTCTGGAAGATCTTTTAGTAGATACTCACCTCTCCGTGCTAGGGCAGAACAGTAAGTACTGGCGGCAGATGAGGGGCACATGATTTCTGGCACTTTGATGGCCTGAGGCTTGCAGGCCACCCACACAAATGGCCTTAACATCCACCAGCACCGCTGCAAAAGAGCAGCCTAGGAAGCGGCGGCCCAGCTGCGGAAGCTGGGCTGGACGCATCTGCTCATGGAGCGGTCCCACCTTGTTTGCTGTACAGATGTCCTGTGATCTTGAGGCAAGGCGGGCATTCCTGGAGGCCTGGCACCTGAGAGTTAGACCATCGGCCACACCTTAGGAAACAGGACCAAACAGCTGCACCTGTAAGGGCTGAGAGGTGCCAGTGACCACACATGTATATGGTGATCATGAACTGCTTGTTGATGAGGCCTGTGACTGTGAGCTTTTTTGTGTGAGCCAGGAGTCACCCGAGGAACAGAGGCAGTGTTTGGAGGTGGTGAATAAGTTGCTCAAATATTTAAAATCTTAAATCAAAATGTAGATTCTGATAGCAGACTTAAGATCACATTTAAAAATGTGATCTTATTTATCTGAAAGATCTTGTGATTATAAAACTGATTTACCTTAAGTTATACATTTAGCTGATTTTCTTTTGAAAAAAGAACCAAAATAATTGAGTCTTCCTGGAAACTCAGCGTAAAAGGTGCCGTGTGGCCTGGCGTTTTGTCCCCACAAAAGTCCAGTGTAGACGTTGACCTCACCTGGCTTCTTTGGAGGAGGGACCACATCAGAATACCAGGATAGCCTGAGCCAGCTCGGTGAGAGCTCCCTTTCCCTCCCAGAGGCATGAGCTCTGGTTGGAAGGAGAAGCATAAAGGACAGGGCCAGGTGAGGGCAGAGGAATCCCCCAGTTTCCACTGCAGGGAAGAAACCACAGCTGGCCCCAGGCCTCTCCTAGGGTGCTCTTTGGAGCTTCACATGTGCAGCACAGAGGTAGATAGAAAAGAAGAAAAAAGGGGCTAGAGCGGGGGTGACCTGGGCTGGGCAGTTTTCTCAGGGGTTACAAGACAAAACCAGCAGAGAAATGCCAGGGAGCTATTTTATCCATCCAAAGATATACCCCATCTCAATAACTCTGAAGCCAGAATGCACTTGATAATGAAAAGAATCTTACAGCTTTGATACTCTTGCTATTGGTACATAAAACGGTGCTGCATCTTCCATTCAACCTTGTGTCAGATCCTATGAAATAAGGTGAGTATTATGACAACCACTGACTACAGCAGGTGGCCTGGGAGAACTGGGTCCCCCGGGCTAGTTGCCATCTCATCCCGAGGGTCATCCTGAGTTTGTCCTACAGCTACAGTCCAGGGACAGACGTTGGTGCATCTTGGAACTTTCCCCCTTCGATAGGTCCTCATATGTCTTCTGTGTGTTTCTCCGTGTGTCCAAATTTCCTCTTTTTATTGCAGGACATGAGTAAATTACACTGCAGCCCACACTACTGACCTCATTGTGACCCAGTCTCCTCTTTACAGGCATTGTCTCCAAAAGCAGTTATGTTCTGAGGTACTGGGTTTAGGATTTCAACGTAGGCACTAATGAGTGGGGGAACAAGGAACACAGTGTAGCCCAAATAGTACTGAGAGTCAGCACCCATGATGCTCTCAGGCTACGGATGTCTAGTAGTCTTGTTTGCAGGTACATTTCAGGTCTGGAGGGATTTTCTTCTCAGTTCTATAAACCCTTGGATTCCATTCAGGAAATGTCTATTGATCACGCATGCCTACAAACCGCAGAGCCAGGAGTCAGAAAAGAACAATAGTGTGCTTTTAATTTTTTGACTCATGACACAGTTGGGGCCTGAGTTATACATGGTAAAATTCCTAAGACAATCACACCTGGATAAGAAAATTGGCCTCAGAACCATGGAACTGTGGGGCTCTGCAGAGAATGGGTGATGGTCTGGACAGGAGGGCACGAGTGGATTCCAAGGCAAGAGGACTCTGAACCAGCTTGCTTTGAAGGATGTATGGGAACCAAGTAGAGTTCTCCAGATACTTTTCTCATTTGTAAAATGGGCTGACAGTGAAAGTTTCAGAGGGCTCCTTTGAGGATAAATAAGGTAGGAAATCCTCAAACCCTTCACAAGTATAGGATGTTCTTAGGCACATAGCATTGTTACAGAAAGCAAGTGTGGCAGATGTGAGAATGGGTAGGGGCAGGGGATACGGGCACTGGAAAGCCATCGTGGATGCCACTGGCCATACCCAGAGCAGGAAGAAGGTGGAAGAGGGGCAGACAGTGGAGGGTGAGTGGCCCTCCCGTCTCTCCAGGCACCTACAGTGCTGACACAGTGCTTCATGCTTAGCAGGTCCAATAAGAGGCTGATAGAGTAAATGAATGTCAGAAGCAGCTCGGGTTGCTTGATCAATATGTGCATGCAGGTCTCCTGCTGTGTGCTCCAAATAGAAAGAGGGACCAGTTGGCATTGCTGAATTCAGCATCAGTGTCATACAATGCTTCAGTGCCTTAGAATTGGAAAACTTGCACAACGGTGACATTGCATGTCATCTCCCATAGGATTAAGTTTTCTGCTTCCCCTGGAGATCCCAGGGTGGAGGTGAGGACACCGTGTATACCCCTCTGCCAATAGCTTGTAGAGTGGCTATGTCAGACAAGGAGGCTGAGCCTTCTCCGCAGTCCTCTTTGATCCATTTCAGTGAGCGTACCCTGTTCCCTGATATGGTTCCATGTTCATCTCAAATGCTATAAACTGGTGGCTTTCAAATCCATTTGGGTAACAAAGCACCTGGAAGTCATGGTTTCTTGTGCCAACCATCCTGAAATTCTGAAAAATTTAATTCCATTGTACGGAACAGGAACAATTTTGATAGCAGGCAAACTGTCTGTATTATGTATGCATTGTATTTCAATCACAACCAAAACACAGGCTGTCAAGCTGATGCCTCCTGAGTCTGCTCCTGAGCCCCTCCGCTGTTTTCTCTGTGAGCACACCACTGCCTCCTGGAGCTCCATGCAGAAATCCTGCAATTATCCTTAACTCCTCTCCCTGCTTACCTCTGCCCTCTCGCCTGTGCACATCCACCCCAAAACCAAGTTCCATGATACTGACTCTTCCCCATGCCCAGTATTGCAGATCTAACCCAGGACCTTGCATAAGCTAGGCGAGATTTTTCCCACTGCGCTACACCCCCGGTTTGGGGAATGACTTGTAATTTAGCTCCTGATTCTGAACACCTCTCCATTCTCACTCCCTCTACCTTTATTCAGTGGCTGTAATTCCCTACCTGAATTTCACCTACAGCTGCCCTCCACATCATAATTGCTAATGACTTTTCTAGAACAACAACCCAAAGGGATCACTCCTCTGTCTCCAGTTTTCAGGGACTCCCATGCTAACAAAACCCCAGCCTGACCAAAGAATGTCTCTCTCATTTCATTTTCTCCCACCTGACAATCATGCTATAACTCTTCTAGCCAAGAAAAGTTAATTGCTAGCACTTGTGGTTTTCCCCCTACTGGCACATCTGCGCCACCCAGTTGTTTCAGCCTCTGCTTCTACTTTACTTAGGTGACACCTCTTTCTGGAAGTCTTTCCCCCTGGGATGGGATGCCCACTCTCCAGGACTGTCATCAGAAGTGTCTGGCATGCCTCACTTACTCGGACTCCCGGTGTTCCACTTGCTCACTGGGTCTCTCCCACCCACGCTCGGTACTGCAGTCTGGGTCATCTGTCTTCTAGGAGATCTGGTCACGTATTCCTGCTGCCCTTAGGGTTGATGCCAGCTTCTGGCATGACTTTTAAGCTCTCCATAATCTCACCTGTTCTGCCTGCCTCGATTTCACTCATGTCAGGACCCTGTAGAATTCTGCTGTCCTGGACATCTTTCAGGTCCTCTCCTAGGGCACCTGTTACCTATACATATGTTTTGCGTACTCTGTTTGCCATGTCTAGAATCTTTCCCTGACTCCCAACTCTTTATCTGGCTGATTACTGCACATCTTTTAGGTGCTGAAAATCTGAACATTGTTTCTGGAAAACCTTCCTTGAATAGCCAGGTTAGGTAGTGAGTATCTCTTCCCAGTCCATTTCTTAGTTCCTACCAATCATAGATTTAATTGCCTAATTAATCAACTATTGTTTCTTCCAGAATGTGAGCTACAGAACCATGTGCATTTTGTTCCTGCCCACATTTTCTGGCAATATATAGAGCAATGCTTAATAAATATTTATAGAATTGAGAATAAATAAATGCCTATTTCTATTCCTACCATTAGAAGCTAGAGCCCCTAACTAACTTATATTAATGTGTGTGGTACATGGATTGTTCTTACAAGCATGTAGAATAAATGCAAGAATGGATGATTGATGGATTTAAAGGTTATTTATTTATTTTTATTTCTTTGTACCAGTAATCAAACCCAGGACCTTGCAGTTGCCAGGCAGGCACTTGTGCTGCTGAGCTGTATCCCCAGCCCAAGGTCACTTAGTTTATTATGCATCTGAAGCTATATACTTCATCATTCCTTGTACCATCTGCAAGAACATGCTAGCGGAAGAGTGGTGTTGGGCCCCAACATTATTTAGAAGTGTTGGTTACCAAAGCTGAAATCTTGAGTTTGGAGAATTCTGTTTTACTACCTGTGGTTGGTAATAGTTGGACTTTTCGATCCATCTGTGGGAGGCAGTGTACCCTGGAAACCCTCCTGCTCACCCCTGTGTCTATTTCTCCTGGCCAGAGCCGTGCTGCCCAGTGGCTCCGCTACCCCGATGGATCCACTGAATCTGTCCTGGTACGATGATGATCTGGAAAGGCAGAACTGGAGTCGACCCTTCAATGGGTCGGAAGGAAAGGCGGACAGGCCCCACTACAACTACTACGCCATGCTGCTCACCCTCCTCATCTTCGTCATTGTCTTCGGCAACGTGCTGGTGTGCATGGCTGTGTCCCGTGAGAAGGCGCTTCAGACTACCACCAACTACCTGATCGTCAGCCTGGCGGTGGCCGACCTGCTTGTCGCCATGCTGGTCATGCCCTGGGTTGTCTACTTGGAGGTAGGTGGAGGCCCCACCTCACTCCAGGGCGTTCTCCAGGAGGCTCTGTGCCCTCGAGGGCCTGGGCTTCAGATCCCCGATTACTTCCGTCACATGTTGCCTGACACTTTCTCCTTTACCTCTGGGCTCAGTTTCTTCCCTTATCATGTTGTTAGACTGTCTCCTTAATAAGTGCAACAATCATTTGTAGAGTGTTCACTAAATGCTGGGCCTTGGGGTGAAAACACAGCACTTTCCCAAATAATCCTCCAAGCAGCTCTGGGAAGCTGGTGTAACCACCATTTTGCAGATGGAGAACCAGGTGGTCAGAGAAGTTAGGTGGTGTCTCCAACATCACACAGCTGGCAGGTGCAAAGTGCAACTCTGTCTGGCTCTCCTATCAGTTCAGAAAGTTATGCTGGAAATGGAGCAGCTGGTCAGGATGCCCAAAGAAGGGGCATGTTAATGCTCCCTGGCCTGAAACATTCATCATACTCTCTCATTATCAGAAATGGGGCTGCTGCTCTGAGCGTCTATAATCCTCTCCATTCCCATTTGATCCTGGCACCCCATGACCAGCACCACAGGAAGAGGCTTCCATTAACTGTGTGACAGCCACTTAGGAAGAATTATGCAACCTACTCATTGTGCACCCAGGACAGAGCATAGCTCTGTGCCTTAAAATGGGGAGCAAGCAGCCCCCCAGGGTAGCCCAGACACTTACCAAGTGTGTTGTATACTCTGATCAGGTAACTGGGAGGCAACATGACTCTCCCCCCTTTATGGCTAGCAGAGACGATGAGAAGCTGCTGTCTCCACCAGGTCCTGTGGTAAAGAAAGAAAACAGCCTCCCACCGGCAGACACTTTCCAAACCTGGCAGGTGGGAGAGCCCGAGGGGAGTCATTGAGCACAGGCTGGGTCCTGTACCATTTTCTGCCATGAATTCTAGGGTTGCCTATCCAGGACTGAAGCAGACCTTGGGCAGAGGAAGATCTCTACACAAGTCATCTCAGGGTCCCATGCAATCTAAATCCTTCAAGTAATGATTTAAACACCTCTGCCCACCATTACTGTGGAGGTGAAGCTGAGCATGTAGCAGGCAGACAGGCACCTTCTCAGGCGGTACCCAAACCCACCCACATAATCCTCTTAACACGAGGCCTTGGTGGCAAGCCCCAGTTGAAGGACAGAATCTCCTTGATCTATCGTCCCTTAGTAGAGTATTGTCCAACATTCAGCTAACTGCACACTGCACCTTCTCCAAGAGATGCTGTGGCTGTCTAGAATTTTCCATTCTATTCCATTCCCACAATGCTAAACATCCCCTATAGCCTGCCATGCCATCCTCTGTCTTGGGACGACTGTGCCTTCTCTATGAACAATATGCTGATTTTGGAGTGAGAAGCCTGGGTTTACCTCCCGACTCTCCCTCTTCAATGGCACAGCAGTGAGGGAAGTCCCCGAAGAATGGCAGAAGGGGTCACTTGCCTGCATGTGGATTCTACTGAGGTGCTTCCCGCCCCTCCAAGGTGAGGCTTGCTGCATACATTTACTAAAAGAAGAGATTGGAAAGATGATCAAAGGTCTCAGGGTTAGAGGGTTTGCCTAGCATATATGAGGCACTTAGTTCAATCCCCAGCACCACAAAAAGAAAAGATAAAAAGCAGCCATGGAATGGTTAGTGTCTCTCCATATGACCACCTCTGTGCAGACGGTAAATGGAATTGGAACTGGGCTCTCCAGGGAATGATCAGGAGCTGGACAAACTAAGGGCATTTCTGAGGTGGCCGTACCCATTAACTCGTTCAACAAATATTTTCAGAAAAGATGAGCAAAGTCTCAAAGTTATTTATGCACTTATTCATCACTGATCAAACACTTCCATCTGAGACTCTAGAGTCTGAGGCATTGGCCTGCCATAGATGAAGACAGAACCCCAGAACAATGCAATCTCCTGGAGGTGACCTGGAACAGTCCCCCTGCAAGACAAGTGGAATAGTGGGGCATATGGGATATTAGAAAGTCTTCCAGAAAGAGGGAATTCTTTGGGAAGAATTACCTAGCGGGAGCAGTGAAGCAGAATCACCCAGTGAGAGAAGGAACCAGAGTCCTTAATACTGAGGTTTGTTGTCTTCACTCCACAAATCCGAACACATGTGTTTGGAACAGCCCCCGACACGCTAAGCACTGGGTGCTTACTCTAGATTTGTTAGTATTTTCTGGCTCCGGTACAGAGCTTCCTATGCTGGTCCCAGCCCCAAAGGAGTAAGATATCAGTGAAAGATGCTCAAAAGTGTAGAGGAAACATCCTTTCTGCAACTAGAAAACCCAGGCCATTCCTTCCTCTGCCACTCAGTCTCCAGGTGACCGTGGGCAAGTCTGATTTCTTCTGTGACCCTGTTTGTCCACGCTTGGAATGGTGACTTCTCCATGCCTTATTTTATATTCATCTAGTGCTTTGCACAGATGATTTCTTTTTGCAAGATCTCTAAGACGGTCTTCTCCACGTTTGAAAAAGCAAGGGATGTGACGCCTGACCAGCTTGTCCCACATTCCAGCCCTACTGAACAGTTGCTGTGTGAACTTGGCCATGGTTTGTTGCCCTTCTGAGTTTCAGTTCCCAGGGGATAAAAATTCTTACAAGAGCCAAAGTACAGTGCCCGGAGTAGATATTCTGTAAAGCTGCTGCCAATGCTTTCTCTTGGGTTTTTGAATGGCCACACCTAGTTTCTCTGCAAAGCATTTGCTCCTGAGCCCAGTAAAGAAATCCTTCCCACTAGGCTCAAGGCAGGCTGTAGGAGATTGGGGTTGGAGTGTCCTGAGAGCAGAGACTAAGTGTGAGTGGTTCATGTCTGTGTCCATAAGCCTCGCATAAACACTAAGCTGCTCAGTTAGGGAGAGGAGACAGAGACAGAGGTCTGCACTCTCAGACCTGGGTCCCCAGACACATAAAGGGAGCTCCTCGATGCCAGTCCTGGGAGAGGCTTTAAGGTGAGGTGAGTGGAAATCAGATGGGATTGGGACCCTGCCCAGTAGTACCTTAAAGATAGACCCTGTTTGTACTTGAGAATACCCTCCACACCTTCCTCTGCCAACCGAACTGGAGCTCCACCCGTCAGCTCCCACAGTGCAGGGCCACCAAGAAAAGCCCTGAGACAGGGCCCCCAGGAAATATTGCCACAAGAAAGGCCTCTGTCTGCTGGGAAACGCTGCTGTTTCCTATTTGCAAGATAACAGCAGCTGGGTTGCCCACCCTTGAGCCTAAACGCCAAGGTTTGGTTCTGTGCCTGAGCAGAAGAAAGGGCATTGGCGAGAACGAGAATGTGGCCTTTAGCTCCACTGCCATGCCGAACTGGCACACGTAGCTGGGGCTGCCCTGCTGTGGCCACTGGAGAGGGCTTTGCTACTTCTTTCTTTACTATGGGGAGAAGCCAAAGGTGTCCTCAGCGGGCCACATTTAGGGCCAGCCAGCTATGTGACTGTGTGTGAATGAGGGGCTGGGGATGTGTAGACGTGTGTGCAGGTGTGTGTGTATGTGCACACGGGTATGTGTGTGAGATATGAAGTGTTCCCAACAGGAGCTGAACCCCTCATTTCTCATCAGACTAAAGACAGATCACTAAAACACCTCTTTCCCAGTGGTGTACCTCCTGCTCCAACCCAGATATTTTTATTCTCTAAGGATAACAAAGAGCAGATGCTTCTTCCCTTCTCATAGTGATCCACTGTCTTCACAACCAACTTTTGGACCCTAACTTTGTGCTACACACTCTAGGCTAAGACTGGACACTCTTTCCTGGCTCATAAAGAATTTGTGCTAGTGAAGGATCAGAAGCTGAACCAAAAGGCTGTAAGTGGGTCAGTGTGCTTTACTGGAAAAAAATAAGTGTTCTGAAATTATACCTGTGGTTTAATTTACAGTTGTAATGGAGTGATGACCTGGAGGTCAACATCATGGGAAAAAATTAATGCTATTCCCAGCTCCCCTAAGAAGGGGAGGTACAGGCAGGGAGCACCAAGCCAAGCTTGGGTCAAGGGGCAAAGGGAAGGCCAGGGGAAAGCTCATGCCACAGACTTTGTTGGGATTTCCATGGGAAATGCAGGTGGGACTGAACGAGCGGTTTAACACTGTGTATTCTGATTAACTCCAGAGAATCTGCTCCCAGGAGGATTTCAGATGCAGGAAATATTGGCCATGATAGAGTATAAAGGCAATGGCTGGCTTGCATCTGAGAGGTAGTGTGCTACCACCTAAGCAGTTTACTGTGTTTATGAACTAGTTAACTCTGGGAGAGGCAGTATTTCCCCAAGTCTAGAGGTCCCCCAAGATAGCATCAGAAACATAGAACACAAAAAATAGAGTTAACATAAGTTTTTCTTGGATGAGTAAGCAGCAAATAGACAAAGAATCTAAGAAAACACAGGAGAATCTACAAGATGATCACACAAATGCTTCACAGATGAAGGTCAAAGATGAGGCACTCCTGTAAGTGAACTGCCTTTCTTCTAGTCAGGTTCTTGGCCCAAAGAAGACTTCCACACCAAGGAGAAGAGAGGCGGGGGCACAGATTCCCATGGGCCCTCTCCCAATCGCCACCTCTTTTCCAGCCAAGGGCCAGGAGAGTCCCACAGCTGTCCTCTGAGCCTATGGCCTGATCTGCAGCTGCTGTGGTCAAGCCATGGGCCTAAGCCAGTCTCCTCCTCCTATTGTCCACCCACTGTGCTGCTTTGTCCCCAGGTTGTGGGCGAGTGGAAATTCAGCAGGATCCACTGTGACATCTTCGTCACTCTGGATGTCATGATGTGCACAGCAAGCATCCTGAACCTATGTGCCATCAGCATCGACAGGTGAGTTCCGCCAGCCCAGGGGGAGGTGACTCTAGCCATCCACCTTTCTGTTCATCTGCCTCTGCTCAGAGTCAGGCTGTGTCCGTGACTCTCTGACCAGCTGTGTCTGTGACACTCTATGACTGGCTATGTGTGTGTGACTCAATGTGCTTGTGTGTGAATGTATGCATGTGTGTCTGTGCACGCATGTGTGTGCACATCCATGCATACATGCGCGTGTGTGTGTGTGTGTGTGTGTGTGTGTGTGTGTTGTGTTTGGGTAGGGTAGCACAAACTCCCGAAAAGGAAGCCATCTCTGGATGGTGAGGCTCCAAACAATACCCATGTAGTGAGTGCTTTGACAGAGAAAGTAGCTGATGCTGACGAAGCTGTCGCTCTGTTTCTTCCTACTTCCCTAAACTTGCTGAAGTTCTTAAACCTCCCAGTTTCACATTCTGGGCAAGAATGCTAATGACATCTCCCCCCTGAAGCTTCAGAGTTTGGTTTTGCATTTTATGCCCTGCACTGCTCACAGCACAGGTTGTTATGCTAAATTGAGATGCATCTGAGAACACTGAGGCAGGCAAAGTTGAAGCAAGGTGCAAGGACTTTATTGCCAACCTGGTGAGGTCGGGCCAAGGGCAAAAAGACCCTTGGCACCGAGCAAGGGGTGAGGGCATGTTTTTGTAGGGGAGGGAGGTACTGCTGAGACAGGTGCAAAATTTTGGGTTTCTGAGTAGGGAGTCAAAGCCTAGGTGATAGGCAGAGTTGGGTACAGGGGTGCTGGCAGGCACAGCATGTCTCTTGTGGTTTTTCGAGAAACCACCTCTTTGCAGGTTCGGCTGAGTAGAGACAGCTGCCTGCTTCCTACGGAATGCCGTGCCCCACTAGATGTGAATAACAGATCTGTCTGAGGGAGTATTTTCTCTATTTGGGCTGGAGCCTAGTTCAGAGACCTGACACAGGTTATGCCCACTCTTCGGTATGTGGAGAGCCTTTCACTAATTTGCACCAATGTACCCTCTGGTACTGGCCCTACTCCGCTCACAGCATTCATGGAAGATAAATTAGTGCTTAGGATGTTCTGGGCGGTGCGATGTGACAGAGGATTGCAAAGAGTTGCCATCATAAATCTTTCCTGCTAAATAGTGCTGACATCTTGCTCCAAAGAGCCTGGCTATCAGTCCATCAGCAAACACTTCCACCTCCCACGGGCCCACCATAAGTGAAGTGCTATTTAAAAGGTGCAAAGACCCAGGCCATGACCCTTCAAATAGTCTAAAGTCCAAGTGGAGAGTTAGAGTAATGGACACGAGAGAGGAGCACATTGCAGCTGGCCAACCTGTGCTCCAAAGGGCATGGCCAGCTATGCTCTCTGTCTGAATGTGGGCACAGAGGGAAGGGTTGAGAGAGAATGTTAGGCAGGCTACGCGGAGGCGGTCAGCAGCTCAGTCCCTGGGTGGGGGCATCTCTTGTGTGTGCATTCTGTGGACCTGCACCCCAGCCTCAGCCCCTCTTACAGGTACACAGCGGTAGCCATGCCCATGCTGTACAACACACGCTACAGCTCCAAGCGCCGGGTCACCGTCATGATTGCCATCGTCTGGGTCCTGTCCTTCACCATCTCCTGCCCAATGCTCTTTGGACTCAATAATACAGGTGAGTCGTGCCTGGGCCTGGGCCTGAAGTGGCCCCAGGGAGGCCCGCTCTTGTGTGGAGAGTCCTGTTGAACCCATTCACCAGCCTGGACTGAGGTGGGCCTAGGACTTCGGGATCCAGCCCAACTCAGAGCTGTTCCAGGGTGTGCTAGAGAGGACACAGTGGCCCAGGGCATGATAGAGTGGGCTGAGAAGCAGTGAAAGTGGCACAGGAGCATGTCTGGTCATTTTCAACCTTATTAAATTGAAGCAGAGTTCACAGAGAGTGTGTGTGTGTGTGTGTGTGTGTGTGTGTGTGTGCATGTGGGGGAGACTACTGGTCTTCCATTTATCACTAGCAAGGAATTTTTGTGATTAGCTTTCAGTCTAGTGGGCTGCCTGAGCCCAAGCTAAGTCTGAGTTACCCAGAGCAGGAAAATTAGAGAAAAGTACCAAGTGAGCCCACCTTGTGCCTCCCTCTACAGAAGGGAGCCTCAGAGCACCGCTAACAGAAGAGGGGCAGAGTACCTGCTGGTGTGTGTCTGCTTCTCACCAGAGAGACAGGAGCTAGGCAGGTTTGACCCTGGAGATCACAGCAAGACAGAATACAGTGAAGCTGAGGAAATGTGTGATATGAAATCGAAGTTTCACAGGAATTCTGAGAAGTCAGAACAGAACTAAGTATGACTGAATTAATCCAGGAAAGGCCAAGATAAAGAACAAACATCTAGTAGACCTGAAAGGGACCTTAAGAGTACATAAAACACATTGGGTCCAGCAAATAGGACCAAGCTATCGCGTTCCTAATTACCAAGTGGCACGACCCCCCTTCCCAGTGTACAGGGAAGGCTTGGAGTAATGGGTCGCTCTTCTGAAAATAACTCTTGGGTCACTTCTCCTGAACATTTCGGGTTTATTCATGTGCTCAGAGATGTCATAACTAATGATCTAGGGATCTAGTAGTGAGGAAGTGTGGACGCAGTCAATTGTGTCTTAGCTTTCTGCTTACAAGTGTGGTTTAACGCTGAGTTACACCTGCACACCGGTGTACACCTAACATTTCCAGGCAGCCTTGAGCATGTCATCCTGTTCTCTGCACGCCTGCTCTCTCTCCCCCCGAGGAGGAGGCGCTGTGTCCCCGGGGTCCAGCTGATGCCCTGCCCACCTCGGGCTTTCTTTCCCAGACCAGAATGAGTGCATCATCGCCAACCCTGCCTTCGTGGTCTACTCCTCCATCGTGTCCTTCTACGTGCCCTTCATTGTCACCCTGCTGGTCTACATCAAGATCTACATCGTGCTCCGCAAACGCCGCAAGCGGGTCAACACCAAGCGCAGTAGCCGCAGTAGCCGAGCCTTCCGGGCCAACCTGAGGGCCCCGCTCAAGGTCCCGGGACGCCCCCTCCACCTGCCCCTACCTAAGCGGTCCCAGCGTGGTTTGCATCTTGCCCAGGAGGGGACCTGGGCACCACAGCAAGGCTGAGGTCCAGGCTGGAGCAGTGCCCAGCAGGCGGCTGAGGGAGTGGGTCTCGTGGAGGGTTTTGAATGTCCAGGCCTGGGAGGTGGCGTCTGCGGTGGCACTGAGTGGACAGAGAAGTCCGCCCAAGTCTCTGTGGCTGAGGGCAGCTGCTCCAGCGCGGCATCCTCCAGGCCTCCTTTCCCTTCGCTTATCTCCTCCTTTCCCTCTCCGTCTCCTTTTCCGTCCCTTAGCCTCTTCCAGCCCGTTTCCCTACCTGCTGCCCTCTCTGCCCTGTTTATCTCCTGTACCCTTAACACTTCCTCTTTCCTGCTTCTTTGCTCTTCTCTCAGCTCCTTGCTCTTCTGCCTGGTGAATTCTCCCCTCCCCTCAGCCTTATCTGAAATGACTTTGTGCAGGAATGGGAGTAACAAAAGCTCTCGGGTTACACATACCAGGTTCAAATTCCGGCACTGGCCCGTTTTGGCTGCATGACCATGGGCAAATTGCTTAACTTCTGTGAGCCTCCGTTTCCTCATCTGTTAAATGGAAATCATAATATGGACTTCACAGGGTAGTCTTGAAGATTCATGAGAAGGGATGTGAGTGTGCCTAAGAGGGTGCTGCACCCTAAGTGCTCATCAAAGTCAGGGTCCTTTTGTCCCTTGTCCTGCCTGTTTCCTCTCATCAAAGCCACAATCTTAACTTTTATCCTGACTGCCTTCTGTGGCTCAGCCCTCCCGATCTCTGAGCTCTGGTCTGACTCTGAGATTTCCTTGGACTCCTGTTTCCCTGTGCCCAGTCCCCTCCCTGTCTCGTGTGACCCATGTGCTGGCTCACTCCACAGGCCAACTGTACTCACCCTGAGGACATGAAACTCTGCACCGTTATCATGAAGTCTAATGGGAGTTTCCCAGTGAACAGGCGGAGAATGGTAAGTTTCAGGTCAGGGACCCATCATCAAGTTTTTTGTCCTTGGGGAGTCTCCAGCCGTGACTCTGAACCTCGCCATCTGGCCTAAGAGAGAAGCGCCTCCTGGCATCCCCCACACTGCCTCTGCTGACAGAGGTGTGACACAGGACTTGCATGGCCCCAGGTCCACAGAAAATTGTTGGGAAGAGGGACTTAGCTACAAAAGCATAATAAAGTGCTGGGAATGGGTATTACCACTTGTCGCCTGCCTATTGAGTCCCTCCTATCTCATCAATCCTCACCACAACCCTGGAAAGCAAGTCCGGCTGATTTTATCAATCTTGACTTACAAAAGAGGAAACAGAGGCTCAGAGAGCTAAGGTAACTTCCCCACGTCAAAACAGTGACAGAGCACATATTTGAACCTAGATCTCTGCAACTTTTACACGCACACCCATGTTCTTTCCACCACACTGCTGTCTAGACAGGCAGGCGCTGGGACTGGAGGCTGGTAGCTAAGGAAGGCTGCAGCAGGGCAGACTTGGGGCTGCTGATGAAACACAGTCCGGAAACAGGGCCCACAGGTGCAAATCAGAGGTCTAAGCAGCGGGTGTCTCACCCACACTCGTACAGGTGAGCAGAGCATGGGCCAGGGAACCCACAGAGGGCCACATGTAAAGTCCAGGGCTGACGTTCTTGGAAAGCAGGATCCTCACCTCTCACCTGCACTCCAAGGGCATCACTCTAAGAGCTGTTGATGCAGGTACCAAAACAGGGACCCAGGATGAGTCAAGCAGTCACTCAGTCATACCAGCTGGGCACACAGACCAGCTGCATTTTTAGAGGCTGGAGCTAAGACCTCTGAGGCCTCATAAAGGACAGCCTAGGGAAGAACTGGGAGGCTGTGAGTGGATCCATGCCAGGCCCTCCTGGTCAGCCCAGCAGGGAAGATGTGGACCCAGGATCAGCTATTCAGCACCTGGGTCAGTCTAGTTGGCATGCTGGTGCAGGAGCCCGTGAAGCAAGAGTAGTAGGCTTGTGTTCAGCCTACTGGGAGGATAAAGGGTGGTGCTCTTTAGACAGATGCAGCATGAGTTCTCAGAGGAGGACTAAACATCATTCAGGGATTTCTCCCCAGCAGCCAGCTTGGCACCTCACATTTAGGCAGCACTCAGTCATCATTACTCGGGTAACAAGAGAAGCCCTCAGAAAATGACGTGGGATATTGAGACTGCAGAAGGATTGCTCTGGGACGTGGGCTATGGATCCGGACAGCCCCTGCCTCTCCGTGATGGCTCTCCTTGCCCTCCTGGCAGAGTGACCCTGTGTTTGCAGGAGTTTCCACTGGAGGAAGGGAGAGGAGTAGAGGAACATGGGAGCCTGGGTGGCTGCTGCCTAAGACCATGCCTGGCTTCACCCAGAGCTCTCTGCTTCTATGCAGGAGGCCGCCCGCCGAGCCCAGGAGCTGGAGATGGAGATTGTCTCCAGCACCAGCCCCCCTGAGAGGACCCGATACAGCCCTATCCCGCCCAGCCACCACCAGCTGACCCTCCCCGCCCAGTCCCACCACGGCTTCCACAGCACTCCTGACAGCCCTGCCAAGCCAGAGAAGAACGGGCACGCCAAAGACCACCCCAAGATTGCCAAGATCTTTGAGATCCAGTCCATGCCCAATGGCAAAACCCGGACCTCGCTCAAGACCATGAGCCGTAGGAAGCTTTCCCAGCAGAAGGAGAAGAAAGCCACTCAGATGCTCGCCATTGTTCTCGGTGAGTCTGCTCTGGCCAGGAGAAGGGTCTGGCACTGCAGACCCCAGTCCCTGTGAGCCCTTGTTGGCACTGGCTGGTATATTACGGGTCCAACACATTCTCAGATCCTTCCCATGCTTATGGACATGCAGACAAGCTCTGAGGAGGATTCTATAATTGTGCTCCTTTTATAGATGGGCAAGCTGAGGTTTATATAATTTGGACGAGAAGGCCTCATAATTTGAACTCAAGCAGTCTGACTCCAGAGTCTGTGGGTTTGACCTGTCTGCCATAATGCCCCCAGGCCCCATGTCCTCAGCCAGGTCACTTCTTATTCCTGACCCCGCCTTGTCTGTAGAGTAGATAACCTCACAAGACTGTTGTCATGGTCAGATGCCATAGGTTTGGTGAAAGTGCTTTTAAAATATGGAAAGCAGTCCACATACCAGGTTATCGTTGTGTTCTCTACTGTTGTTCTGCAGAACTGGGAAGCAAACGCTAGTACTGAACCACACCTCTATGGAGCAAGAGCTGTAAAAATAAAGGGGAATGGGGCTCTGATCTGAAGGACAGAGCATCCCTGTCCACTAGGCAGGACTTCTGAATGAAGTTCTCCTAGAAAATTGTATAGTAATGGTCACTAAGAGGATGGTTGAGGAAAGGAGGGACCAAGGTGATCTGTCTTCTATGTAACACCCGAGAGGTCCTTTAATAACCCAGCAACCCTGGATGTGAGTAGGCAAGTGCCCCGTTCCCTTTTTATGCATAAGAGCTTGTTGTCCCAGAAGGCTAAGGGGCTACTCATGATCACATGACTGGGATGTGGCCAGGCCATGTTGGAGCAGGATATTTTGCTATGGAGGCTCTGCTCCTCCCTGATACTATGATGTCCCTGAAGATGCCCCTTGGGGCTCCATGCTGAATGTCCCATTGGAGCAGCTATCCTGGAGCAAGAACACCCTAGTCAGACAGCAGGGTAGGTGGGAAATCTCTCTTAGGTGAGAGAATGTGCTATCCAGGCTAGACAGGCAAACACGCAGCCTCTAAGCTGGGGTGGAGTGGAGGAGACTGGAGCAGGGATGTGGCTCTTTAGGGGCCCAGATAGACTGATGCTCACATAGCTGTGATGCTCAAGAGTACAATGGTCCAGGACACGTTCCAGAGCAATCGTAGGACTCAGCTGCAGACACCGTGAGAACTATGTGAGACAGGCATTGAACACTCGCTTTTCCCGAAGTATGCGTTGTAGGCTGCCACAGACAATGACCACTTCCTTCACTGCCAGATTGAGGGAGACATTGTTCTCAAGGGTCCTGAGAAGAGGACTAGGTGTTTCCATGAGCCCTGGATGCCTTGAGTCAAAATGCTAACCTAAGGGCTTCTCTTTAAACTGCTTCTCCTTCCCTAAAAGGCAGTTATTATTACACCCACTGGACTGGTAAGAAATGAGGTTGGGGAGGTGAAGGGACCCTTGCTTACAGATGAGCATCACAGGCAGGTCTAAGACTCAGGACCTGGACTCCCCTTGCAGTGCTCCTGGGGCTGCGGCCCACAGCACTGATGCCTGCAGGGCACACGCTCGGGGCCCATCTGGTAGGACAGGGCATGCCCAGCCCGGCCTCCCCACGGCTTGGCGGTGAGCCTGACCCTGCCTCTCCCCCAGGCGTATTCATCATCTGCTGGCTGCCCTTCTTCATCACGCACATCCTCAACATACACTGTGACTGCAACATCCCGCCAGTCCTGTACAGCGCCTTCACGTGGCTGGGCTACGTCAACAGCGCCGTGAACCCCATCATCTACACGACCTTCAACATCGAGTTCCGCAAGGCCTTCATGAAGATTCTACACTGCTGACTCTGCCGCCCGCCTGCGCAGCAGCTGCTTCCCACCTCCGGGCCCGGGTTATCCGGGCCTCGACCCTAGATCCACGGGCAGAAAGGCCCGAGGGACTGGGCCTGCTCTTCACCCCGCAGGCGCTGCAGTGTTCACGTGGCTCTGCGCCCCTCTGCCCACACCCCCTCACTCTGCCGGGGCAGGGCAGAGCTGGGCCCGGTACCTATGGCTCAGAGCAGCTCCCAGAGTCTCCCTCTGTCCTCCAGGCCATCTCTCCTCGGCACCAAAGATGCAGCCGCCCTCCTTGACCTTCCTCTGGGCACTAGGGGGTCTCTAGGGTGACTGAGGCCGGAGTCAAGGCAAGCATACTTTATTGGGTTCCCCCCCTTTTCATGGGCCTGTGCTGGGGTGGGAGGGACAGTTCTCACCCTGCAAAGCTCACATGCAGAAGGCCCTGGAAACTTCAGCCCTGGGAGAGCCACGTAAATACCAGATAGCACGTGGACCCCAGAGGAAGCCAAGCCAAAAATCTTAGCTCCCTCCCCAGCCCCGAAGTGCGTCTCCTCTTCCACAGCTCTGGTCCTGGCTCACCGCACTCTGTTACAGCTCCCCATACAGTTTCTATGCCCTTGCCCTCGGAGGAAGGAACCCTAATCTCCAAGGGCCCAGAAGGGTCTGAGGGGAGAGACACGCCAGCCCCCACCCCCCTCAGCCACCTCCCTTCTGCTAGCCTGTGCTGGTCAGCGTGGGAAGATAAGTATTGGACCCACATTTGGGCCTAAGTCGGGGGAACTTTAAGGTTCTTTGAGAATCCACACCTCCTGCCACCCTCGGACATAAAGTCTCCCTTTCTCTTCCCTTTGGCTTCTTCTCTCCCCTTTCCCCTTCCAATGCCTCTGTGTTAGAGGAGCCCCGGCCAGGAGGCTGCTGAGTGCCCTTTGGCGGCCTGGTCCTGCTCTGAGGGAGGAGGGGAAGCTGTAGCTTGGAGGGGCCCCGAGGCCCCAGACTCTGTAACATCACCATACATGCACCGAAATAATAAAACTTTGACAATAACTCTCAAGGGCCCTTGGGTGACCTGGAGCAGTCCCAACACCTGCCTTAGCCTTCAGAGATGCCGGAACTCCTGAACCTAGCCGGGTCTTTCTGGAGGGAAGCCAGGGGATCCCACTTCTCCAGGGCTGGGGTCTCTAAAGCTCAGCCCTTCCTTTAGCTCCACCTCCACCCGGGCAGAGAAAGCTCCTTGGAAAAGGTGGCCCTGGAGGTTCCAGCCTTGCCTGTGTGTCTTTGTCCTTCATCCTGTCACTGTTTCACGTTGGGATCTCTACCTCTGGGAGAGGTTGGAGGAAGCAGGCCGGGCATGAGTGCGGGGTCCGGATATCTCTCTGAGCTTTCTGGGGCTACAACTCAATCCCGCCCCAACAACAGAAATGTGGCTTTAAAAGATGAAATAGACATCCATCAGTGGAAGAAGAATGTTCTTATCACCTTGAGAATAACGATGGTGATGACAAACAAGGTGGTGGCACCCACGGGCTCTGGGGAGCTGTCAGGGCATAATTTGCATGCTGAATACAATATTTTTAGCACCAAATCTTGGAGCACTTAACTTGCCCTGAACACTTAATTATGGACTCTGATCTTCTCTTTGAACCTGAAGGTAGTGCTAAGCCTGGGAAAGTTCCTGTCCCCAGGAGCACTCTGATTTCAGAGGCGGGGAATAAGCAGACCCCTCTTGTAGCTCAGGGCAGCCTCCTGCGGAGGCCCAGTGGCGTCCAGAAACATTAGGGACCTCTCAGCAGCTGACGCTTGACCAGCTGGCACATGCCCTGTGTTTTCAGTCTGTGGATGCTTTTGACCTGGATGGGCTTACAGGTTCATCCAAGCATCAGAGACCCACAGGGGTGTGCAAGCACAGCAGTGAGTTAGAACAGACGGCAAGAGAGGCAGAGAAATGGAGGAAGGAAGGGCCCGGAACAGGAGAGCGATCTGAGAAAGGCCCCGTCAGAGAGAAGAGGGGAAGAGGGCAGGGCAGGGGCGGGAGGCGGAGCAGAGAAGGTGCCCACAGTTGTCACAAAGCTTCAAGTCTTTCTTGCCGACAGCAGATTGACAGCTGGAGTGGGCAGGGGGAGGGCTGGGTCCACCCCCTCCCCCTCAGTTCTTCAGGGGCCAAGGAAAGGGAGGAGTGGGACCCGGGAGCACTGAAGTCGGAGGGGTTCCCTCCCTGGCTTCCCCTGGGGGGAAGAGCAGCTGGGGCTCTGGCTGTGTCCATGGAGGCCATGCCCTTCACCTCCAAGGCTTCCCTTCTCAGTGCTCCTCTGCATTCTGTGCCTGTGTTCTCTAAGATGCCTGTAATCTGAGAAGTGCTCGTTGGCCTTTACAGCTGGTAGCACCCGCACCCCTTGCCCTCCCGTCCCTAGCGTACAGCACAGGGGCACCACGTAGGGCTGGCTACGCACAGCCGAGACCTTGCCCAGTCATCTCAGGTGAGAAACTGAGTCACATAGTTAGAAAAGAGCAGATCCAGCTGGGACTGCCCATTCCTGAGGCTTCAGGCCCTTATTCCCCCCAAGATGAGTTTGAAGGTGACCGTGTGCTAGGCAGAGGTCCTGGCGACTGAGTGGTCCATAGTTTCACCCCTCCACCCGCCCACTCATTGTCTTAGTCAGTGACTGTTTACTGGGCAATTATTATCCTGGGAAATTATTAGGTCTTTGGTGAAGTGCTGGGAATAAAACATTGAAGAAGGTGGACAGGATCCTGCCTTCCTTCCTGTGTTCGTAGGCTGGGGGGATGACGGATACTAACCCAATCGTCACACAACAATGTAAGCATTCCACTGCCCACAAGATGAGCTCTGGCTAGGAGTGAGGACCACTGTCAGGACCCTGGGGATGGCCACAAAGCACAGGGAAGTCTACACAGCTCCTGGACACTTTTCCTGATGGTTTGAGAAATAGCCGCCTGGGGTGTCTAGATTTTGAAGCAGGTGGAGAATCCCCAGGGATAAGAGGACCACAGCAGGGAGAGTGTCCCAGGTGGCTGGGCTGGGCACCTCTAGCAGAACAGCTGAAGATCCTTGCTTCCTAGACAGTCTACAACCAGGAGCACTGAAAACTAGTCTCCCTGGGGGCATTTCCAGTGCCCCTCATCTAGCTGGGGACCACGTGGTCTCCAGAGGCTGCGTAGCTGTCTTTCCCAGATGCCAGCTCTCTTCAAGCCCGCTGACTTACTGTCATCCAGGCCCCAGGACCGCTGTGGCTTTAGCTCACATCCATGCAGGGGCCACTGAGGGTTGGACCCTCCCTGGTTGGGTTCCCCCTTTCTATCTAATCCCTGGAGCATTCCTAGCCTCTGCCTCTTAGGAGAGGAGCCTCTCACTGAGGTAGGGGGTTTGCGCAGTGGCAGGGCTGACCTTGGCTCTCCGCTCTCCAGGTCTGCTCCAGTTTAACTTCCTGACTTACCCTTAGTACAGCTGAAGAGATAGTGTGGTCACAAGTTTTATTCCTTAAAATCAGAGACAGGAAACAGAACTATTGAGAGTTGGCTAGGACACCCATGGCTTCTGGAGTTCCCTGGCCGGGTTATCTCAGACACCACCCCACTGCTGCCAGGAATGCAGGGTGTTTGAAGAGAGCTGTGTGGAGGGCAGAGCCTGAGCTCTCTCCAAGGCACCAAACAATAGGGTGGACAAGAGAGTAAGGCAATTGCCCTGGAAGAGAAAAGTTCCAAGATCTACTGGCAGCAAGTACTACTGGAGCCCAGAGCCAGGACAGGTGACCTGAGCAGCCCTGTGTCCTGCTAATCTTCAAGCCTCACCCCACCCCCACTTTTTATCTTTTTTTTTTTTTGGACCAGGGATCTAACTCACCACAGGCAGGTGCTTATACACCTGCGCTAAATCCTTGCCCCCCTCTTTATCTTCTCTCTGAGGTTGCTGTGCTCCTTTACCTTCCCTTTTCTATGTCCTTTGCCTGTCCGAAGGCAGAACAGGGTCCAAGAACGTGAGCAGCTCACCAGCCTCATCCTTCTCCCTCTCGGTGAGTGCAAGCACTGCACCTTGGCTTTGCTTGCACCCAGCCCCTGGCCTGGCTCTGGAAGCCCCTGGTAGTGCAGCCTGTGGGCCACTCTCACCGCTGGGTCTCGGCAGGCGAGACTGACTGACCCCACGCTATTTTGTAGGGCCAGCTCACAGCCCACTGCAAGGCCCTGAAGAGAAGTCTCCCTTTCCTTCCTAGAACTCTCTGCTAAAGGGAACCAGGCAGCTGGTTTCTAGAGCCTCCTTCCCTACAGGTCCCAAAGGATGAACCCAGAGAAACGTTCCTCTGAAATGGGGAAAACCTTCCAGAAACTAGTTGGGTGCTTATTAATTGTCTTGCCTTTGGTCGGTTTGGCACTGGGTCGGATACACTAACCCAGGGGGATAAGAATTATCACTACCAAATAAAGTGACCAACGCTAAGAAAATGTCCGCAACCCGAGGTAGCGCGCTGTGGATGGCCCAGTCCCGATCCACGCTGAGGTCTCCCTGCCCAGGCCGCCAGCCTGGCCTTTCCCTCTCCTGCCTCCGTCTGGTCTCCCTCCTACCTTCTGTGCCTTACATTACTTTACAGCCCAAACCTGCTGCCCACAGTCACTTCTGCAAGCGCGAGAGGGCTCCCCCCCCTTACCCCAGCCCTAAGAAAGGATGAGAAAGAGTGCAAAACACAAGCAGGACTTGTAGCACAGAGTGAAAGGGCAAACCAGGGAGCCGCTCTCTGAGCCTCACTACAGACGGTGCTGGCACAGCGCCCTCCTCCACTGAGGGAAGGGTATGCCACCGGCAGTGTGGGCAGAGAGTTCGTGAGCAGAGACAGGTAAGTGGGGTCTCGCAGGTTAGGTAGGTGGGTCTCCAGCAGGGACTGGTGGGAGAAGTCCAGTGTGACAGGAGAAGGCCCCGTGGCCTTGGGCTGGTCAGTGTGGTCATAGGACAAGGCGTAGGGGAAGAGATGCGAGTCTTAGACTAGTGCCCTGGCTGATTCAAGAGCCCTAACAAAGTGGAACGGCTAGGCAGCCGGAATGTCCCTGAACCAAAGATGACCGGAGATGCCTTCTGTGTGTTCAGGGAACATTTTCTCTGCTTGGATCCTCCCTCGACCTCCATTGCCCTCCCTTCCTTCCTGCCACCAGCCCAGAGACCTGCTCTTTCCCTTTTCACCCTCGTCCCGTGTCACTCTCCCCCTGGGGCCTGGAGGGCACCACATTTTCCTCATTGGCTCAGTGCTTCTAGGTTGCATCCGTTGGCCTCCCCAGTCCTCGGGAGGTTTCTACTGCTTGCTGTGAGTCTACCTTCCTTCGGAGAGGGTCACACAGTCCCCTTTGGACTTCTGGCCTGCACTTGAACTCTTGTAGCTAAGGTGCCTTGCTTTTCTGGTTCCTGACGTCACATCCGGGAGCGGTCTCCCGGTGGATTCCTCCTCCCAGCACCAGTAATTACTAGGCAGCACAGCCTGGGCTCCTTTGGATTCTGGGGACAGACAAGCTGGACAATGCTGTCTCCCAGGGCCCAGGAGAAGCCTGGATTGGTTCAAGCAGGGTTTAGGATGGAAGCGAAGGCTGTCATCTGGGGTGAGGTAAAGTGAGGATCAAATAGCATAATGTCAGTGAGGGGGGCAACAATAGAAAATCCTAGAAGACCAGCAAAGTAGCAGTGAGTTTCTGCAGGCTGCGATGGTTTAATTGTTCCTCCCAATGATAATTCTGTTACCAACATGGAGGCTGACGCTCCAAATCTAGGCAACATCCACAGCTAGTACAGGGCAGAATCAAGACCCCAGTCTGCATCTGGCTGGCCAGCTCTCCATCCTGTCACAGGCCGGGATCCCCGGCTCTCACCCCAGAGCCCTGCCTTCTCACCCTGCACTCTGCTGAGCGGGTCTGGGGAATGCACGGTACATCCCATGCTGTATCTGCCCTCTGGCAAGGTGACAGCAGCTCCCTGACACCCTCACACTGAGTCCACACTCCTGAGTCAGTGTGGGCACCAGGGCCCCCACTGAAAACCCACCCACTCTAAACAGGACTGGCCGTACCCACAAACGGCTGCTTCTCTACCCCGTATCCAGCTGTTGGCCCTCCTCACTTCCAGCCATCCTGGACTTTCCTCTTCCTCTGCCCCACCCATGTTACGCTCTTCAACATTCACGTCTTCCTGGAGGCTCTTTCTGATAAAGCCCACTTGGTTTGGAAAGTGCTGCAGGAGAGAGAAAGTTACAGATGCCTTCTCCACTGTCCACGTGTGGCTACTTAAATTTATTGATTTTAAAAATTTGATTCCCCAGGTTCACTCACCACATTTGAGTGCTCAGTGCCACAAGTATACAGTGGGATATACGAGGTCACACGGATTAAAGTCCTTTTGGAGATCACTGGTCCAGAATGACCCCAAGCACGAGCACTTTCAGCTTACAGGAAAGCAATGAGCAGGCTTGTGGGAGGGAAAGGGGCACTCAGGCTGGGACATTTGGAGTTTAAGGATTCCGTAACACCTCTAAGGAGAGAGATCCAGTAAGAAATTGGCACACTCAGTTTGTGGTACCCCGTTCTCAGGCTCCCCAAACAGGACTGCAAAGTCCGCCAGAGACTCTCTTCTCAAGAATTTCAAGGGCCTCACTAACATACAATTGCGCACCTGTAGCAGCCAGTGGTGTTGAGATGGGACTCAAGGCAGATGCAGTGTGTGTCTGGCTAGGGTGAGTCGAGAGATGGGGTGCTCACAGGCAATGAGGGCACCTCCTTGCCAGGGCTGGCTTGATACCATCACTTCTGCTACTACTTGGAGAAAGTGGCTAAGGGAAGCAGGACCTGAGGACCCCAGCCTAGACTCAGAACTGTCATTCCCCGGGACAGTCCTGTCCCTATCTACACGGGACAACGGATGCCCAAAAATCAACTACCTTTTCTAAAGCCTTTCTTCAAAATCCTTCCCCCAACTTTTTCCAACAAGATAAACCAAACATTACCCTTCCTGGTTGCTCTGTCCTTGCCATTTCCACTCATCCGCTGGCCGTGACTATCTAACCCCAATCCTGTCCTCTGACTTCTCTAGAATCCTAGGCTTGGGGCAGGAGCCAGACTCAGGCTGCAGGAAGATGCAAACAGCCTCGTGTATCCCTCGCCTGTCTTCCTTCCGCTCTGCTTTTTCTGGACAGTCAGCATCGCAGAGGTGTTTTTAACTATGAGGTTTGCTTAAGGTTTAGTCTTGGGAAGAGCCGAGAGATTGGGGCAGGTGAAGTAGGAGAACTGAGATGTCTGCTAAGTGTCCCCTAGTCCTCAGGAGTCCCTGCTCAACCACCAAGGCTTCCCTACCCTGGGGGGGGGGGGTGGGGGTGGGCAAGCAACAACTCCAAGGTTCCTCCGGGGAAGGCCACAGTGGGAAGCCTACAGTGCTGCCTGCTGGAGGCTCTCAGCCCTGCTGTTCTTTACAATCACCTGGGAATTGCGCATCTTGTTCAGCCCAGGATTCTAACCAGGATTTTCTGGTTTAACTGGTTGAAGGGAGGGCCAGGTTTGGGTATATTTTAAAAGCCCCTCAAAACTGGGTGTGGTGTATAAGCCAGTAATCCTAGCATTCCAAAACGCTGAGGCAGAGCTGAAAATTTTAGTTTGACCTGGGCAATTTAGGGATTTAGCAAGACTCTGAAGGGCTAAGAACATAGCTCAGTGCAAAATCCCTGGGTTCAGTTCCCAGTACGAAAAAGTAAAGTAAAAAAAGTAAAATAAAAGCCCCTCACCAGGACAGTCTCATGTGCAGGCTCCACTCACAACTGCTCCCAGAAGACACAGCCCAGCCCAGGGCAGCTTCCAGGTCCAGCTTCTCTGAGCAGCTTTAGGCTCCAGCGAGGTGTGAGGTGTTCAGCGCCCAACACGCTGGGGCCACAGAGCACAGCACTGCTCACAGGGACTCACGTGCTGCACAAGGAGCTGTCTTTCTCTCCCGCTTCTTCCAATACCAGAACGCTGACCACATGGCCATGCAAAGGGGTGCCTGTCAGGGCTTGAGAATGGTTGGGAGCTGAGGCACGAAGTCCCCTTCCCTGAGAGTTATAAAACATGCTTGAGCTGGCGGGCCTCTCCTGCAGTGCGGTGTGGGAGGAAGAGGAGCAGCTAAGACCCTGGCCCTGCCTGCCCCGTGCCTTCTCAAGGGCTGCTGGACCGGGGCCCTCACCACACGCAGAGTCGGCACGGGCTGCACCAGCCTTGCTGTGACTGCCTCCAGCCAGCTCACAAGTGGCCAGGCTGTGCTTGTGGGCGAGCCAGCTCTGTTTGGATGCCAAGGAGAAGTGAGTGCCCAGCCAGCTCCATACCAAAGCCAGACAACCCATGCCCACCAACTCAACACCTCAGCTGCACCTGCCTCCTCCTGACACAAACTCACACATGTGTTACACACACATGCGTGTATTACACACATGCACAGGTCCCCTCAGCCTTCCTCCTATGTAGGCTCACAAAGTATGTAATGCACATACATGCAATGTGCCAGATCTCTCTCTGTCTCTGTCTCTCTTTTGTTTTTTAATTTTTTTTATTTTAAAGAGATTAACACAAACAAGAACATAACAAAGCAGATCAGAACAGAACAATGTAAGCAACACAGTATTTCACCACAAGACTACCTGTATCTGTCTCTCTGTCTCTCTCTGTCTTACACACACACACACACACACACACACACACACACACACACACACTCTACTGGTCCCTATATATACCCAGACCCACAGTTAATCTATTTCTAATGCAAAGGTTCAGATCCACAGGTTTATTGACTCCAGGATTTGAAACTGGACACATTTCTGGGCACAAAGAAATTAGGGGGTGTGGGGCCAGGAACCAGGAAGCTGGCGTCCACACAGGACCATTCATCTACAGTTAGGAGCGTCCATTCTTCACCCCCGAGAGACCACATGGGAGCCAAAGCAGAGCCACTGGGAAGATGTGGTCACTGTGGTGATGGGCTGGCTAAGGCTTTAGGCAGGAAGCAGGAAGTTGCACTGTACTCTGAGCTCTAGCCCCCTGGGCAAAGTGTTTGAGTCCATCTGTCCTGCCTTAGTCTGAGAGGAGGGCCAGCAACAAAGATGCGAGCTAGCAAGAGCTCATTTCCCATCCTTAAACCTACCTTTGTCTTCAGAGAGGCTTCCTAGGATGCAAAGACCCCCATGTATTCAGAGGGCAGGAATCTTGTAACTGGAAAGAGAGCTCAGCTAGGTGACTTGAGTCCATGTAAAGTAGGGAGAAGCCAGGGGTCTGTTGGAGGTGACTTGGAGGAGGGCTGGAAGCAGCCAGGGCCCATCTCTAAGCTACAGCCTCAGTGGTACATCTCCCCTTCCCTCTATCACCTGAGACGCAGGTTCCTATTTCCTCTCAAGGTCAAAAGAGCAGGAGAGACAGAGTCCTCTCCGAAACCAAGTTTCAACGCCACCAACCCCTCCTCTTCCAAGCAAGGTGGAGCCTAAACTTCTGTCTGGGCTCCTGGCTCAACACTACCCAGAATGGCCAGTGAGGGCTCCTTGCCCTCTAGGAAGGCCACGATGCTCTGCTTTCGGGTCCGGAGGGCCAGCTGCAGTGGTGTGCAGCCCACTTCATCCTGGATGTCCAGCTGGGCACCAGCCCTGACCAGCACTTTGAGGATGGCCGTGTCCCCCTTGAGAGCAGCCAGATGGGCAGGTGTCCAGCCCACCTTGTTACAGATGTGCACATCTGCGCCATGGTCCAAAAGGTTGATGACACTCAAGAAGGTGCCCCTCTGGACCGCCAGGTGGAGGGGTGTCCAGCCCGACTGCTCAACAACATTGGGGCGAGCCCCACACCGCAGCAGTGCCAACAACACAGTCTCAGCCCCATGGTGGGCAGCCAGGTGTAGAGGGGTCCACTGCATACTTCCAAGGGCACCCACATCTGCATGGCTCTCAGCCAGCAGGTGTATGATCTCCAAGTGGCCCTTGTAGGTTGCTAGGTGCAGGGACGTCCAGCCCTGCTGAGTGGGCAGCTCCAGGCTGGCCCCATATCTGAGCAGCATCTTGCAGATGAGATACTTGCCCCGGGCAGTGGCAGTGTGCAGTGGGCTATAACCACTCTGGTCCAGGGTATCTGGGGACGCTCCGCTCTTCAGCAGGTACTGGATGGCCCGCACTTTGCCTCGCTCCACTGCCAGGTGCAGTGGTGTCCTCAGGTTTTTCTGCTGAGCATCCAGCTCAGCTCCTTGGCTGGTCAGCAGCTTGACCAGGCTGACGTGGCCAAAATAGGCAGCCACATGGAGCGGGGTCTTACCCTCAGCTTCACGCAGGTTAGGATCAGCGTGACGGGACACCAGAAGCCGTGCCACATTCTCAAAGTTGTTCTGTGCAGCCAAGTGAAGGGGGGTCCAGCCTTCATGCTCCTGGGCATTCACAAGGGCCCCGTGGTCCAGGAGCAGGCGGGCAGTGCGGTCATCCCCATTCTGAGCTGCAAAGTGCAGTGGGGCCCAGTCGTCCTCGTCCACCAGGTTGGCATCAGCACCGTGGGTCAGGAGCAGAGCGCAGATCTCAGCCTGCTGGTCCTGGGCAGCGATGAGCAGAGGTGTGTAGCCGGAGGCTGTCTGGCAGTCCACATCAAACTCGTGGGCCAGCAGCAGCCTCACTTGCTCCACACTGCCCTGAGCCACCAGGAAGTGCAGGGGTGTGACTTTGTTCTGGTAAATGCGCAGCTCTTCGTCGCTGGGGACCAAGCTCTCACTGTCAGAGAGCTGCAAAGCCCGCTTCAGACAGTCTCCCGAATCTGCTGGGAAGAAGAAGGCATAGGAGAAAGAGACTTACGAGCTGTCCAGAGGTCATCGTGGCCACCTCCTGGCCTCGGCCAGGGGCAGAGACTAGAGGGGTGGGAGCAAGGCCTTGCCTGGTATTGGGGGTCTCCTCAATCATTACCATCATTGCAGGGGTTCTGGCATCACTGTCCCTGAGCCTGGGGGTCTTCCTGCACAGATGTGGTGGAAACAACTGGGCTCGTGAGGCCCAGGTCCACGGCTTTACTCCCCCTGTAGCAGCCTTGACCTCAAACAGTTCTCTGCCTCTTTAAGCCTCCACTTGGGGCTGGGTAAAGGGGAGACCAATGCTGTGCATCTCATCACACTAGTGTGAAGACTAAGCTGGTAGCTAAGAACTTCCAGGAGAGGGCCAGAGAGCAGTAAATCCACGCAAACCTGAAGCACATTTGCGGCTGGAACTCTATGATCTAAACTCCCCCTGGGTCTTCAGGCCTTGTTTCCCTCTACTCTGCCCAGTGGTGTATCAGAATTAAAAATTAGGAGGGTGATCGTGTCCCAGGCCCAACTCCCACAGCTTCTGATTTGATTTGTCTCGGGTGGGTCCCAGGCACCCATCCATTTTTGTTTGTTTTGTTCTGTTTTTAATTTCCCAAGTAATTCAAATGTGCTGCTGTGTTAAGAACCAGAGTTCCACCTCCTGGGTCAGAATGGAGGAGCCAGGTCTTGCATAGAATCAAGCCCCTCAGTGCATGTGTGTTTCTGGACCACTTTTCTGGGTGCTAGGAAAGGGCCCCAGAGCCTTGGACATGAGACAGGCCTGGAGAGGAGGAGGGAGCATGGGGAAAGGTATGGTTGGATCTTTCCTGTGAGAGCTCTGGTCCCATAGCAGCACTCTGGGCTTACCGCTGTCTGTGAGCTCCTGGTTGGCTTCCTCGCTGACCTGGGAAGGCAAAATCAGTAGAAACAGGTACATTAGCAAGGCAGAGTTCCCTGTCACCCCTTGGGACACACGTCCCTCCCCAACCTGGAGGCTCTCCTATACCATTGCTCTCCCAGCTGTGCTCAGAGGGAAGCACGAGCAGAGGAGACGTGCCAGTCCAAGGTGGTCCAAGGCCTGGGCTTCTCTTGGGGCCGTGTGGCTGCAGGGTGGATCTGTGGGTTCATTTAGGAGCCCCTCCTAACCTCTGACTGGTTCCCATGCCAGAGCAGGGACAGGAGGGGAGAAGGACAATGCTGACACCCACAGTGTGACAGCTTAGGAGAGCCGAGGCCTCCCTCACACAGCGTGAGCTGAGGCTGCACCCACCTGCTGGGCCCGGTGGCGTAGAGATGGTTTACAGGACACCTTCCTGGCCAGGGCCTCCACCTCAGGGTCTGCCACAGGACTCTGGAGCAAGGACAGCAGCATGTCTGTCTCGACTGTGATGTCTGCTCCACAGGAGACAGAGAGAAAGGATTTTAGATTTCAGATGCCCTAACACTCGCTTTGCCTCCCCAAAACCTATTTCCAGACTCGTACATGGTCACAGAAGCACAGAAGGAGCCAGAAGGACACTGAGTCCCAGTTCTGCCTTAGTCAGAACACATTTGGCAAGTCACTGACACTCTGAGGATCAGAGTCCTTTCCATAGGACAAAGGGGAAGGGCCAGGTGAGCTCTAAGATGCTCACACCTGTGTGTACTTTTTGAGTGACTAAAGGACAAGATACCCTGACTGTCCCTCCACCTCTCATAGGCACCACCCAAACACACACAGATCAGGACCCTGACCTCAGCTCCCCTAATTCCAATGCCATTCTCCCAGCTCCAGGAGGCAGATTCTGCTGCAAAAATCTCTTCAAGCCCCTGTGCTTCAGTTGGGTCTGCATAGCTCTAAGGAGTGGGCTTGGAGCCCAACTGTCCCCCTTCCTGGCCCCATCCACTCCCTGGCCAGCAAAGCCTGGAAGGACACCTAGAAAGCACGGCCTCTTCTTGGGGTCCTGGTCCCAGCAGCGCTTCATCAGGGCCACCATCTGCTGGGCCTCGCCTGGCCACTCATCGGAGACAGGCTGCAGGGAGGGCCGCAGGCCTGCTGCTACTCGGATGATGATGGTCATCATGTTGAGTCCTGGGAGAGAAGGCTCAGGTTGAGCCAGTGCTGGGAGGCAGAGGCCCAGCGGCTGGGTAGGACTGTGAGGGCTGAGAGTCCAAACAGGTGTACACACAGTAGGGGGCGCTCTAAATTATTGGTGAGTAAACAGCTAGTTTCTGTGCCCACTTGAGCCTCTGCTTTGAGCAGGTGAGTTTCTGATCCAGCTCCAGCCCCATCTGAGCCCAAGAGTGAACATGACCGCACATCGCAGGCTTTTGCTGTTCAAAGTCAGCAGGCAGACAACAGGCCTGGTTAAAGGTTGGCTGCCAGTGGTTCAGTTTCCTGCCAATCTCTTTACTTGCCATTAGCTGGCAGGCTGGTGAGATACAGGGAAGAACATTTGGGGGACAGGGTGTTACAGCCACACGCAATGTCTAGGCTGGCTTTTGCTGTCCCCTTTACTCTTATATGAGCTCTAGAAACAAGGGGTGTGAAGAAACAGGGTGAGGGGCAAATCCCTGAAGCCTACAATTCCCAACACTGTGCCCTCAGGAACCTCCGCCTCCCACAGTGCCTTCCAGGACCCCATCAGAGAGTGTTGCCCCTACCCCAGGCTCGGCTCCCGCCATTTGCTACCTGAGTACGGTTTCTTCTGAGTGAGGAGCTCCCAGATGACAATCCCAAAGCTGCAGAGGCGGAACACAATCCTCAGAGACTGTCAGAATTCTCCCATGATTCCCCTAGCCAGGGGACCCCCTTTAGGCCCCTCAAGCCCAGCAAACCCTCTCCAGCCAGAGTTCCCCCCATCTCTCCCTTTTCTCTGTGAGCAAGGAGGGGCCAGACCTCATCCCTGTGCTGCTCTGTGACTGGCCTCAGGACCGGGCAGGGTGATGACGACACTCTGCCTCCTGGGTAGGTGACAGACGGCCCAGCTGCCCTCTCACCTGTACACATCGTAGCTGGGCCTTGGGGTCTTGTTACTCTCCAGGAACACCTCAGGGGGGATGTAGCTGAGGGTACCCCGCAGAGCCGACCTCTCAATGTACTGCATCCGGGTTGATTGCTCCATCCACTTGGACAGGCCAAAGTCTGAAATCTGGTAGAAAGTCAGGTGCCAGGAGTGGCTTGCAACAGTCTTGCCTCCAGAAACCAGGTGTTTTCTCTCATCCCTCCAGTTTATCATAGAGTTTTCCCATTCCACTGTCTCCCACTTGAACCACTAACTACCTGCTTGGTCTTGGGCAAGTTATTTACCTTCAGAACCTCAGTTCCCTCATCTATAAAAATGAAATAAAATGGGTACGTTCCTCAGGGGTATGTGGGCATTAAATTAGGCAGCATACAGACAGCACGTAGAGTATAGCACATGACATACAGTTGGCAGGAGCTGCCATTACCCAGAGGGACTATGGGTACAGCTGCCATGTTCCATGAGCTCCTATCATCTCCCTGTGCAGGCCCTGAAACACTTGTGTCATGAACGTTTATCCCCACTTTGCTCATTCAACAATTTGCTGTTCATTGACAACCATAAAGATAGAGTCCCATATCCTGGCTGGGGTATTCAGATAGGGGTTACTCATGTTAATGAAAGAGTTTCACAAATGATCATGCACTCGCACCTGGGGTTAGCAGTATAAAGAAGCAGAGATGCAGTAAGGGTTCAGAACAGCGCCCTGCTGGGGCGGACAGGGGAGAACTTCCCTGAAGAGTGGTATTTCAGCTCGGAGCTGAAAGGTGATCAGGCGTCTGCTAGATAAGAAAAGAGGAGTAGGGGAACAGAACGCGCAAACATTCCAGAGGAGAAGAGAGCCCGCTGTATTTTAGGAACTAGAAAAAAGTGGTTATTACGACCTTTCTTAGGGATTATCCGTGTATATACAACCCCACTGCAAGCAGGAAGTGAGGGGATGTGAAACATTCTACTCATTTTAGAAACAAGAAACTGAGGCCTAGAGAGTATTACTGCTGGTAACTCAGCCTGGGTCATGCCCACATTTTGCTCTGAATCCATCCTTCTCTGCCTTAGGTAAAGCCCTGTCCTTCAGTATTTGTCCAAGAAGAGAATTGCTTAAAACTCCAGAGAGGCTAGCTGCAGATAATCTTGCTCACTTGGATTAGAGTCCAGTCTAGCTTTCAAGGGGACAAGGAGATCGAGGGGGCCCTCACCTTGACATGCATATTGTTGTCCAGCAAGATGTTGCCTGGCTTGAGGTCCAGGTGGAGCAGAGGAGGCTTAATGCTGTGGAGGAAATTCATGGCCAAGCTGGTCTCATGGATGATGCGGAACTTCAGGTTCCAGCTGAGGCTGTGGCTGGGTAACATCTTCTCCAGGGAGCCCCCGGTCATGAACTCCATGACAATGCCCAGGGGTTCTTTGCACACCCCGTAGATAGACACGATGTGCTGAAACTTGATCTTTTCCATTTTGGCTGCTTCTTCAATGAGGCTATTCACATCCGAGCTAAGAAGAGTGGGGAGCAACACATGGAAGAGGGTAACCCGTAAATTACTAGAGCAACCAATAGCATGCCAGAGTAAGCATGATGCCACACTGAGGGGTCCAAGAGAAACATCAGGACCGTGCAAGGTAGTGGAGGAGGAACAAGAAGGGAAGCTTCACAGGCAGAGCAAAGCTCAGATGCCCACCAGCGACAAGACGGGACATAAGGCTCAGCAGCCAGTGCACTCTGCAGAGCTGGTTACCAGAAGCATGCAGCACAGCCTGCCACTTGTTCTAGCTGCTGGTTAGTACGTTTATCCCCTCCAGAAGATTTCCAGCCCCTACAGGGCTGATATGCCTTGTGCTATCGTTTTGAAATATCTATTGCCATTTTGATTATGAAAGCAATGCATATATGCTGCAGAAAACCTAGGGAACTCGGAGAGCTGTAAAAAGAAAATTAAAGCACCAGTAATCTAACTGCAGAGCTGGCAATGGTAACATCGCGGTATATTGCTTTATGACACATTTTCAAGGTATCTCTGTCCCCTCTCCCTCCCTTTCAGTCCTTTCTGTCCCCCTCTCTTTTGATCACAAGCTCGCGGACCTGTGCATTTTCCCATTGTCATTCTCCTGGTGCACCGTCTTTAATGACTGCACAGCATCCTGTTTGGTGGGTGAACTGTAATCATCCCTCTTTGTACTCCCCACGGCACACTGCCGGGCACCACACAATGCATCTTTGTCGAAGTGAACAGAAGTCAAGACTCAGCAGAAAGCCTGCTAAACAAGCATTTGCAAAGTCTCTCGCTCATTTTACCGCATGTGCCCACCGAACAGTAAATGCCCAAATCGTTACAGACTGGAATTGTGGGGAGCAGGCTGAAGGAGAAGTAGCACTTGTTAAAGAACCACATCAGCAAACGTGTGACGCCCTGCAGCGGGGCCCACAGAGCATCCCGGGAAGCACGCTGGAGAGCTGCCCTCCACGGAAAGCCTCCTACCCTCCGGCACTTGGACAGCTCGGCTCCCTTGATTTCTCCTGTTCTTGCTCTTGGTTCTCTGCCATCCCAGAGAGCTCCCCTCCGGCTCTGATTCTGGACTCACAGAAACTAGAAAAACATCTGGCATGCCACAGAAAAAGCGTGGGCTCTGAGGCTCGTCATCCTGCCTTCAAATCCCAGGTTCACCACTTATTCTTTGCATGAGCTGGGCAAGTGAACCCTCCCAACTTCTGAGCTGTCGAATGGGAATAGCAGGAACTGTCTTGCACAGCTCCCATCCTGAACCAGGCTCCTTGAGAGGGCTGCGGCTGTCTGTGTGTCCTCAGCCCCGCTGCCCTCTTCTGCTGGGTTTCTGGTGTCCATGCTTCCCCCAACACCTGTTCCTAGGGTCTCTGACCAGTTTCAGGCCGTCGGCTGAGAGTTTGGATCTCTCGCCCTTCTTTTCTGAGCTCTCCTAGCTGAGCCATCGCCAGCATTCTCCTGCGCTTCTCCCCGTGGCTCTGGTTACTTCCTCTTTGATTCCTTTGTAGGGTCAGAAAACTTGGCCATTGGGCTGGCTAGGTCTTAGGTGCTCTCCTCTCCTCTTTCCTGCTCTGTACTTTCTCTACTCAGTCTTGACACCTCTAATTGGATGCTCAGATCTCAATGGGTGCACAGCTAACCCTTGCATCCTCCGTAACACCCGCCCTTCTCTCAGCCTTCTTTATCCCCTCCAGCCTTAGACAAACGCTTAGGTGTCCCACAGTCCCACAGTCAGACCCTGGACCAGTTCTGCTACCCCTACCTTTAAAACACAGCATTAAAAATGACCAACTTTCACCACTCCTGCCTGTCCGAGTCTTGGCCAGCTCTTCTTTCAGTGTATGTTTCTAGTACATAGTAATGACCCTCATCGTGGGGAGTTAAATCACACGCACATTGCATCTTGGCCATTTTTACCCCCTCGCCCACCCTCTTCCTATCTCCACAGAGGTTACCTCTTTGCTTCTTCTTTTATTTTACTCTGTAAATTATTTATATTTTAGGCTTCTCATGTTAGAGAAACTATGCCATATTTAACCTGCTGTGTCTGATTTATTTCACTTTGCATTATGGTCTCGGGCCCAAACATTTTCTTACTCAAATTCCTCTCTATGGTGAAGTAGGACCCTGTGTGTCTCCACACACCTCATTTTCTCCATCCATTTTTCTGCTGACCAGCATACAGGCCGCTTCCAGGGTTTAGTTGCTATAAACGTGGGTCTGCATGTATCACTGTACTGCGATGTCTCTAATCCTTTTGCAAAGATATCAGAAAGAGGTACCGTTGGATCGAATGGAATTGTACTTTTAGGTGTTTCAGGAATCTCTATACTGGTTTCTCCGGCAGTTGGACGAGTCTCCATTCCCCCCAACGTTACAAGGGTTCTTTCCCCACAACCTCACCAGCAGCTGCTGCGTGTTGAGTCCTTGGTGACAGCTGTTGTTACTGGGGTAAGGCGGAATCTTGGGGTTGCTGTGATTTTCATTTCTCTGTTGGCATCTTGGCCCCAGTCTTAATTGGCCTCTCTGTTCTCCCTCTTACAATCTAACATCAACCCTGCAGGCAGGTGACATTTTGAAAGGTGAATAGTAGCCTGTTACTGCCTTTCTTAGGAGCTTCCAATAAGGTATCTTGTCCACAATAAAAGTTCTTATGATGGCTGAGGAAGCCATCCATTTATCCAATCCCCCAAGTGCAGCCATCTGACTTTGTCCCTCTCTCCCAATCTGCAGCTGTGACATGAGCCTCTTGCTATCTGGTCCTGATCTCCAGCCTCTTTCCACCCCAGGATGTTTGCATTGGTTGCTTCCTCTATTTAGAACACCCTACCCATGGCTTGCTCCTTCATTTGCTTCGAAGATCTACTCAAATGGTGCCTAATTAGTAATATTCCCAAACAAGTCTATATAAAACAGCAACCCTACCCCAATTCCTTCATGTACACGTGACCCACAGATGAATGTTTTTAGACTAAATCTGTTCTTGAGGGATTAGAGTAGTTGACTCTCCTTAGGTATTTTAATCAAGAAATGTCAAGTAGTCATAAGGACTATAGACAATGTTTTTATTTATCATAATGTAGCTACAGTGCACACAGTGAGAACCAGGAACTGCAAAAGTACACAGAATATAGAACTCTGGACTTGACTTTCCAGTGAGACCTATGTGAGAGCTCGCAGATGGCCTGAACCTGCTCCCAGGCCAGCAGGATGGGCAGTCTCCCCTGTCCAAGGCATCCCAGCCTGCAAGCAGGACAGGGTCCAGCCCAGACAGCCCTGCAAGACAGGTGGCTCTCTGCAGGTGACACTCTTTTTATGTTATGACATGAGAGTTTGGGGTTAGAGGAAGGGCAGCAGGGAGTGGCCAAGAGCAGTCATCACCCGTAAGAGGAAGGAAGAAGGACAAGCTTGAGAGGACTTGCAGACAGCAGCCTCTTTGACCTCCGTGGTCCCACAAACAGGCACTGTATGCCTGGTGTGTTTCTGGTACAGAGGAAGACAGCGGTGCCCAGGAAACCCAGGCTGTGGGGTAGAATTTATAAACACTCAGCCTGCACTCACGCAGAACTCTTCGGGTCAAATCTTGCCAACCTCAGTTTTTCCCCTGGGAGGAGGACGGGCCACAGATACCTGGTATCATCCTGCTGTGGGGAGGGGGAGCACTTGATGGCATACTGAGTCCTCCAGCGCCTGTGCCTCGCCTGGAACACTCGACTGAAGCCACCACTGGCTATTTGCCGCCAATCGTCCTCGAAGTCCTCCTGGGTGAAGATGGTGAGGCTGCCCAGCCGCTGCTCCATGGACCCAGCAGCCATGGGGCCAGGGTCTGCGCTGGCACCTCGGCTGGCCGGGCACTCCTGCGTGTCTGCCAGCCAGCAGCCTGGCTTCCTGCTCCTCAGGTCCCAGGAGGTGAGCCAGGTCCCTCCCTCTTTCAACCCAGGAGGAACTGATCCTGCCTGTAAAGGCAGGGCAAACCTCCAGCAAGGCTGGCAGGCGGGGCTGGAAGAGAAGTGTGTCCCCTAGAAGTGCCCTGTCCTTCCTCCTCTAGGTTTTTGATTTTCCCCCAGCTCCCTTCCCGAGTGGGGACAGTGCTGGACCACAGGGGCAGCCCACACTTGGAAACAGAAGTGCAGCTTAAGAAGCTGACTCCTTTTTATTTAGACCCAGTGCCCTGTGAAAGTTGATTTCTTATCTTCCTGCAGCACTATGTATTTACAGGAGGTTCTGGGGTTTCTTGTGGAGTGCCCCCAGCGAGTATAGGGTTCAGGAGATTACACTGAAGATGGTCTGGTCAGATTGTCCAGTGCTTTCTTTTGTTTTTACTTTTGTTTGTTAGCCAGTCTCATGTGTTAAAGGTGACCAAGGAGGGGGTCAGCGGGAACAGAGAGCTTGACAATTGGACTCCTGTCTGCAGGGATGTCCCCTTCTTGGCCAAGTTGTCAGCCCAGCCATTGAGGAATCAGCACCTGTGTGCCCATGAGGGCAGTGGAACCCATGGCCCTGTTCCCAGGAATGATCTGTGGCCAGAGAGGAGGTTCATGGAACAACTGGAGCGTCACCAGGGTAACATCTCTGAGAAGTGGGGGTGATCCCACCTGGGAGGACCCCAGAGTAGGGTTGGGATGCTCAGAAATCTGGCCCAAGAGCTCAGAGCAAAGACTTGAGGCAGAGGGATAAAAAATGCTGCAGTAGAGTCAAATTTGTCTCCTGGTCAGTTACAAAGCCACGCTGGTAGACGAGGTAGCCAGGGCGCAGCTGGAGGACAGGTGTCCCAGAGTGGCTGGCTGTGAGAGCACACTGGGGCGGCTAGGACGCTTTTCTCCGGACTGCCTTCCTCTTTCCTGGCTCCTACTCTGTGCAGTACCTAGTTTTGTGATTGGGGATGCAGGTAAAGGGGGAAGAAAGCTCCTCAGGCTGCAGGGTAGGTCCTTGGCCTTGGACTGCCCTCTCTCCTCTCATCCCCGAGCAGGGACAATTAGAAATGTTCCAGCAGACAGAGCTCCCGGGGCCATGGAGTAAGCTGCTGCCCATAAACAGGCGCTTCCTGGGGAACCACAGCAGCACAGGGCAGGACTAGCTAGCTATCTCTCACCTATGGCCAGGCAGGTGGGCAGAAGTCTACAGGGAACCTCCAGAATGACCAAGTTCAAACTGAAAGTGCCCGCCTGCCACAGGGGAAAATGCCTGACTTTTGGTCCAAACCTGCAGAGCCACTCAGACATGCCATAAACCCACCAGACCAGAAGCATCACAGGGGAGCAGAGACTGCTAGTGGAGGATGAAGCGTTGTTCTTCCCTGAACACCTTAAACACCACCTCTAGAGAGAGTTATGGCAAGCAGATAGAGGAAGGAAGCTTGTGCCCGAGAGACTTGTCACGGGTACCGTTGATGGCCGCTCTAAACTGAGCAAGGTGTTCCTAGGTGGTAGCTGGCTGCTTTGTCTACTACATGTATTTTATAGATGCTTTGTGTTCAAATCCGTATCACTGCTGCATAGCTAGTCTATGGTAGGTGACAGTCTAACCTAAGTCTCTTAGCTCCTGCAGGTGTGGGCTGGGCAGGGGACAAGGACGAAGGGGCAGCCTTTTTAAGGGTATTGGAGAAAGGAAGGGGAAAGAACAATGCTGCTTGGAAGAGGGTGGACATATACCCTCCGCACAGTGTCAGAGGGCGGTGCCAAGCTTGCTTTGACTGGCGCAAGGCAGGACACAGTAAAATCCTGGCCCTGGAGCAAACTTCTCAGGCCCTGATGAGGCGGAGAGGCTCGGAAGGTGATGAGTCCATTACCATTAGGAAGAGTAAGCGGTCAAGGCAAAGCCTCTTGCCTCCTATGCATAGATGGACATGTAGCCTGGCCTGGTGACTTGACTCCAAGAAAGTCTCACCCAGGGCTGTATCTCTGGCACTAGCAGGATCATCTTGGGCTCCTGGATGAGGTAGTAAGGATGCGTGACCTTGGACTGCTCAGGGGTCCCCTTGGCCCGCTACACCTGCAGTGGACAAGAATCCAGAAGTGCCAGTGGCTTTACGAGGAAACTGTCACAGTTACTGAAGTTTCTTTCATGTGTGTGCTTCTAACACATGTGTAAACTCATGTGACAGGCCCCAGAGTCAAGATCCAGAGCAGTTTAATCACAAGCATCCCTGACCCTATGCTTTATGGCTGCATCCACCTCCTCCTCCCACCTCTGACAACCACTAATCTGTTCTCCATTATAAGAATTTACTTAAATTTTGCCATTTAAGAAAGTGAAAGAGTCGGGCAGTGTGTAATCTTTTAATCCTGCAGTCATTGTGATTCCTTAGAAATTCATCTAAGTTGTTGAGCGTTGCTAGTGACTGAAAGTGTTCTATTTTATATATATATTTGTTTGTTTAACCATTCCCGTGGGAAAGGTCATATCTGGACTGTCTTCCGATTTTTAGCTATCACAAACAGAGCTGTGATTCACAAGCAGTGGACAAGGATCCAGAACCTAAAATTTTCAGCCTGCCACTCCCAGACCAGTGAGCTGGTTAAAAGTTTCTGCACTACACTGGGTCATGCTGCAACTCCACGCCAGCCTTTCTCCAAACCAGAATGACAAGCTATTTACATACAGGGAAATCCCCCACTCTGCCCCGCGCCCCACCTGCTGACATGTCACGGAGAGCACTTGGACAGGCTCGGACAGGCTCTAGCAGGCTCCAGCTCTGGCGGCCTGGGTGCTGAGGTGAGGGTGAGCTTGGTCAAGACAAAGGAATGTGTGCAGGAAACTGGAGAGGCTGCCCAGGAAGGGCGACTCCAGAGAGAGAGGAACTGAACGGGGCAGCAGAGACAGAGGCCAAGTGTCAGGGCACAAGAGTTCGAAGGCTTGCATTCAGCCCCTGGGTTTTCTCTACTTGCCAGTTTTAGGACCTTGACCACATTTCTAGATCTTTCTGGGTTTCTCCATCTATGGAAATAGGATAACAATGGTAATGCCCATTCCAAAAGGTTGCCGTAAGGTTCATAAACTTTAAAAAGCCAACTGAGTGAATACCCATAAGCAAGAAATGAACCAGCTTACACAAAATTAATTCCAAATGTATCATGTGTTTAAATATAAAACTCTAGTTGATAATTATTATTGACTCAGGGTGACACCAAAGCTCTTAGGCTGAAAACTACAAACATTATCTATGAAATGAAAATTTGATATACTTAACTTCATTGAAATTAAAAAGATTCACTTTGTGAAAGACCCTGTGAAGATGATAAAAAAGATAATCCACAGGCAAGGGTAAAATATTTGCAAGCAATGTGTTTGACAAAGTGCTAGTTTCTAGGGCATACAAATAGATTTTCAAATGTAATGATAAGGAATAAGCAAAACAACCAAAAAAAAGCACCACAAAAATATCCAATTAAAAATGCAGAAAAGACACAAATACATTTCACTGAAGATATACAGACAGCGAATAATCATGTGAGAAGATATTCATCATCATTAACCATGAAGCAATAAAATTTTAGCCACAGTGAGGTATCACTACACATGTATTGGAATGGTGAAGCATAGAAATAAAAGTCACAATGCGAGAATAAACAATGGTGCTATCACCTTCCAAAACAATCGGGCAGTTTCTGATAAAAGCCTCCCAGGCTACCCAGCATCTGCACTCTTGGACACTGTCCCAGAGAAATGAAAACTCACCCCAAAATCTGCTCGTGAATCACAGCTCTGTTTGTGATAGCTAAAAATCGGAAGACAGCCCAGATATGACCTTTTCCATGGGAATGGTTAAACGAACAAATATATATATAAAATAGAACACTTTCAGTCACTAGCAACGCTCAACAACTTAGATGAATTTCTAAGGAATCACAATGACTGAAGGATTAAAAGGTTACACACTGCCCGACTCTTTCACTTTCTTAAATGGCAAAATTTAAGTAAATTCTTATAATGGAGAACAGATTAGTGGTTGTCGGAGGTGGGAGAAGGTGGATGCAGCCATAAAGAATAGGGTCAGGGATGCTTGTGATTAAACTGCTCTGGATCTTGACTCTAGAGCTGTCACATGAGTTTACACATGTGTTAGAAGTGTACCGAATGAAATATGCATGCACGCACACACACAAAGGACTGCATGTGAAACTGAGGTCACCTGAGTGAGACGCGTGAAGCTCGTCACTGCCAGCTTCCCAGTTGTGATGTGGTACTACCGCGATGCCCAGTGTGTGGGTGGGCTGGATGAGGTGTGTGGGGGTCTCTGTATCACGTCTTAAAATTGGGTGTTCGTCTATAATCATCTTAGAAAGCTTTAAGGTCTTTAAAAGCTTAAAGCTCGTGTAAAGCTCTCTTTTCCTCTCTCTCTCTCTTTTCTCCTTCCCACACTTTGTTTTATTACATTCTCAGCAGAAAAATCTTCCCAGAGGAGGTGAAAGGGAGTGACCAACGCTGACCACAGAAGGCTTCCGGGAGGACTCTGGCCCATGAACACGGGTAAGACAGACAGGTGCTGTGACAATGTCTAAGGCAACCGCGGGTGGCAGGAGGAGGGCAATAGCCTTCTGGATGCCATCCTTCCACCCAGGAAGTTGCTCAGCTGACCTGGCGCCTACCCACAAGGCCAGACGGACATCTGGCTCATCAAATTTGAAATACACTCACTGTTTCTCAGCGCTCACCAGAGATAACAAATCCTACTGATGCTCAAGGCCCTTACGTGAAGTAGCGTCTCTGTATAACCTGTGCACACCTACTATATACTTTATTATAATTATTAATGTAGACTAACAGTATAAATTGATGAGTTTTGCTTTTACATTTCTATAATGCTTATGTCGCATTTTGACTATGTCCACCCCCTCGTGTCCTCCTCCGTCTCCCCTCCACCTGGTCCCTAATGACCCCTAG